ATTTATTGACACTTTCACAGTAACAATAAATGGTGATGTTTTAACTGATTTAAAAGCCTCATACAGAAGAAAATCAGCAGAACCAGAGTGATTTCCTCTAAACTCAAGCTTCCTCTTTGATAGGCATCTTTCTTCTCCATTTTCAGGCCGCAATAGTCTGTCTTAAACCCAGCCGAGCCCAATCCTCAGCAGTAAGTGGGTGTTTTTTAAGAGCGAACCCTTCACTCCTTTAAGCGCAAAGCATGAGAAAATTACTCAATGACAGAAAAACTGAAAATTAAACCATGGATACAATGTAATGTGTGGGAAAAACATGTATACTCTATCATATCATGTTACACCATGAAGTTTACTAAATACTTTCATTTTTGAAAACATGATTTGGATCTCCTGACATGAGTTTGCATAATTGCTTGATGGAAAAAAAAAATCTATGAAAGTTCCAGTACATTTTGAATTATCAACTTACAGTCCGAAGCGTAATTGTATCTTCCCAATATCACAGTGGCCTGTTGATTGCCTATTTCTGTGTGTTTTCTGTGTGTCTCAGAAATGTCTGAAAAGTGTAAAGATGATCAGTTTGTTCCATTTGTTAAACCTGTAAATGTCTGTGTGGCCTATATGGAAATTGCAGAATTTTGAGTGCTCACGTTTCATGGCTTACGGCATAATCCAATCCATTTGCTGCCACTGGTATTTTCCGAAGCTGCCAGTCGAATAAAGATGTCCCCTGTCAATCAGTGTAAATCTTAATGTGTTATTATCAATTATTTTGCTGACAATTGTTAAACTCTGAAGATGATATGGTTTTGGGACTGATACAATAATTTTTAATATACGGTTTGTTTTTTTTAAATCAAATATTAATATAATAAGAAGTTGTATAAGTAGTCGGCTGTTTAGCAGACAGCCATTGCTTTTGGAAAGCTCTGTCACTTGATGACAAGTGTTTGGATAATTAGTTGTGGTTCACTGCCCTTTTTGGATGGCGGCCTAGCTGCTGTGGATTCTGCGCATGTAATGGCCCATCCTTCTCAAGTTATATCCAGTAGAATTGTAAGCAGCCAGCAGCCAAAATATTTACACTTGGACACAATCAACCAAGATCTTCTCTGTTGACTTGTAGACAATGTTGCCACAACAGAGCTACAGCCACTGTTCACAGGATGCAGTCGGTCACGCCACATTGTCCTCTCTGTCCACCGAACTGTGTATAATATCAATATGCTCTCACTGAAATTTTCTTTCTCTCTGTCACCTGCAAGCAACTTAGTTGAAGAGTTGCCCTATTGCGGTTGATTGTTGGCAGTAAAGAAGTGTCTGTTTTGGTTCTGTGTCATGTTTGCAGATACATCATCAGATCAGAAATACTTTATTAATCATCGTCTTCCTCTTTGCTTTGGACTCTTTGGTTTGATGACTTCGCATTTCGCATTACATTGACAAACTTGACAGATGCTTTTATCCAAATCAGCTCATAAATGATGGACATCTCCAAAGCTTCAGCACAGTAGGAGACAGAGTAGTACTAACAGCAAAATGTTTTTGGATTAGCCATTTAGGCATGTTGGGGTGTTAGGAGAGGAGGTGATTTTCAGAGGAGATGAGTCTTGTGGGGTTTGTGAAGATCAAGATGAACACCCCAGCTTTTGGTTTTTTGTTCAGAGAACTGCAGACAAGTATATGTGTGGTTGTCATGTGCGCAGGGATGTTCAGATTTTATTGTCATACACATTCAAGAGTACAGTTGCACATTCAAAAGCAATAAAATGCATCATGTTCTGAGTGCTCAAAACTATGAATAGTAGAGACGCTCCTAGCGTGTTTTCATCTTGAAGATATTTTATATTTTTATCACTGTGAACAAAACCAGCAGTGTGTTAGTCTGTATTCATCCTTATTCTGGAGGTCTGTGTTGCAGAAGAACCAGGTTGTGTCCACACAGACAATACTCGATACCAGATCAGTTCATTGTTTGTTTTAGTTTTTTGGGGATTTGTTGACACAAGCAAAAAAAGAGAAAACTCCAAACGACAAAGCTGTTGGTAGCTGCTACCAGCACAAAGCACATGAATCTGCTGTATGTCTGCAGTCAAGGTGCAGTGTGGGTAGGTAGGTTTTGACAGGGACAAACGAATGCAGAGAATTAAAAAAAGTTATTTCTGGTTTAGCTTGAATGATAATTCCTGTCCACTTGTAGGAGTGCAGTGCTAAATCAGCAGAGTTCTCTTAAATTAGCAAATTATTCACGTATACCTCTTGGCTTCCTGGAAGCTTTGATTAGAACTTGGATCATTTGCATTTTCCTTGAACTCAGTATTTTCTCATGGAAAAATGTCCCAGTAAACATGAGTAAATAAACAAGGATGTGGTTGTTTAGGACTCCAGGTCCGTCAGTTCCATTAAAAATCAATGGACACTTCTGGTCATGTTTTTCAGTCTGAACTTAAACTCAAATTGTCTTTTTAAAACAGTCACTTCATATATTAGGATTTATATCACTGTTGATCAGTGGTATAACTACTCACTATACACGTCAGCAAAGTAGTGTATGTTCAATATTGAGTGACAGCATTTTTTACTGAAAGAATTTGTAAAGTACCTGTATGATTTTCTTTGACAACTTGATGTTCTGTTACTGTCAACTAACAAGTTCAAAACAGTGAACTATTCTACCCATGTTTTCACTAAATTGAAGAATGAGGGAATGCACATGTATGCACTTCTGTATGTATACGAAACATGCTTTATGCTGCCTTTGCAAAACAGAAAACATACTACTACAAGGACTGGTCATACAGTCGTGGCAGTTTGAGCTCCTCTCAACTACTCTTACATCATACAAACTTTGCCCTAATGAGTAAAAAACTCTAAAATCTTTCATATATTAGGTTAATATGTGATGTTTTTAGATCAATTATACAGTTTAAATCTGATACATAATGTATAAGGTCTGACTGTGAAAGATTCTAAACACAAAAGACATTTTAAGACATTTGTATACGATTAAATACAGGGGTTTGCATAAATCTAAAAATCAAAACTATATCTAACAAAATACACCTTGTGTTAAATGTAGACACATTTTTACATACATGACTCACTGCATCATTTTATTTTTTTCTGCCTTTAAGTAGGATGTAAGTCAACGATGGACGTATGATGAAGCAGAGGCAAACTAACAAATTGACTGAAATTACACAGCTACCATCCAACTCATCAAATTATGAAATAAACTTTTAAGTCATTTCCTGCTGAGGATGTTTACCAAGTTTTGTGGTTTGAAAATATTTCTTGGTCGTTACGCTGCCAAACAGCAGCAATACACTTATTGCATGGGCCCTGTTTGTGTGTATACTCAGTATAGATTGTTATAAGATTGAAGTGATGCTGTTAAGAATCCAACGTTATACCAGTGTGTGAGAAAATGTGTGCTCCTTGAAGTGCAACTTCTGTTGTGTCTTTTTAAAGAACCTTTGTTGGGTCTGGAAAAATAACCCTAATAACATCATCGAGGTTATTTCAAGAAAACTGACGGAGGAGATGATGTTGGTTGCATTGTGGGAAATGTAGGATGAGGGATGGACAAATTGGATGCTGATATGCGATTCGATACTGACTCAAATCACTCTATAGGGTATCGATGACAATGAGGCTGATCTATCAGTTAAATCCTGTGATATTCTCTGTTTACATCTCTACCTGCATCAGCAGTGCCAGTAGACCAATACATTTCGGATGGAGCTAAAACAGAGGGCCAGCTGTTTGGAGTTACTTCAGACCTGCTTGAATTCTAATTTCTGAAGAATTTTTATTTCCAAGTTATGAGCAATTATTTAAGTGTATGTATGTAAATATATGTACATTTATTTGTTTTTGTATCACAGAGTTAGGAAAGCAATGTTTAAGTCAAGCCTGATGTTGTCCTGATCTAAAAAAATGATCCCACAGTGAGATATACTGTACAGCTTATTATTACCATTCCAATTGGTATCCGATCAATTCCCCAAACCCACGTCAGCATCAGGACAGAAATATTTGAATTGGTGCATCTTACTCCATCTTTTTGGAACTTGACATATTCTAGGAACTAAAATCAGGACATGTTGGCCGCTGCATCGACTGTAATCTTCATGTAAATGCTCCAGCATTATGAAAGTGCATTTCTCAATTCCCAGAATACTCTTCACTACAAATTATTGTAGTTACTTATCATTTGTGGTGAACATTTTCCACCGTATGACTTACGGGAGATAGTTAGATTGTTTTTCCAGGCTGTTCCAGGCGGCTTTCGGCATCCAGAATTATAAACTTGCTTTTGTTGTGTTATAAATTGTGGGAAATAAGTCTGCATTACTTTATTTATATGCCAACACTATACAGATGTTTCAGTTTGTTAAGTATCTGCTCATTAAAGTCGACAACAATCAGTTTTAGAGATGTGTTGATCTAAGTGTATGATCTTTATTGGTGGGGTTGCTGTTGAAGTGTGTACAGAAAGAATCTGCTGGGGGTTCTCTTGATTAATGGATAGTTCTGTTTATAAAATATCAGACTATAGTGGTGTCATTATTTCATCACCACATTTGACAAAGAAAAGCTGTAAATCTTAAAATTTTTGCCAATCTTGCTGATACATTTTCTCTCAATCAAGTCAAACCCAATTAACTGACATTGTTTTAGTTCTCGATTACATCCTGTTTGGTTAGAATATCAGATACAGTCAACAAACAAGATTTTCTTTTCTCCCTGCAGCATCTTTGGCTTCTACAAGGGAATCCTGCCTCCAATTGTGGCCGAGACACCAAAGAGAGCGGTCAAGGTGAGACAAAGGGTGTTTGTTCTTTTTATAGAGAGCTGCAGAACTTCTTGGACTCTGACACTCAGACTCTATGGTACATAGATTCAGATTAAACCTCAGCCGCTTGTATTTGCTCTGTCAACCTTCCCAAATATTGACAAACAATCATTTGCACAAGCCCAAGCTCAATCTGTTGTGTGCATATCTCCATTCACATGACCAGTACATGCAATGGTGCGATGTGGGGAGGTTGGGCACAGAGGAGGCCCGATGCCTGGTGTGGAGCTTCTCAGTAATGAGATGCTGGAGACGAGGATGTGTGAACTAATAAGCACTCACACTGAGAAGATGGGGTAATCACTCACACAGTGAACAAAGCTGGCTGATGGTGAGAAATGTCTGGAGCAAAGAATTAAAGCAAATTAAAGCCTCGATTAAAACACCTCTGCTGGTGTTCTGGTCTTTGAGCAGATGAACAAATCAGCGGATGTGTCCCCTTTTTGTTTCACGTGTTTGTCGAATTGATAAAATGCTCACCGAAGTTCACGTGTTTCTGTGGTAGCTGCTTTTAATAGCTTGTGTTCTTGTGTATATGTTTTTGTGTATGTGTGCTATAGAATGTCAGATTGTGAATGAACTTTGACTCTGACACCTCATTCATTATTAATTTCCTCTGCAGTTTTTCACTTTTGAACAATACAAGAAGTTGCTGAATTTGACTCCTCTATCTCCTGGTGTGGTAAGTTTGAGACACAGAAACATTTGAAAACACTTTCACCTGTAAAACAAACATGCGCTCCTACACACACACACAGACACACACCCACACACACACACACACACATAAGCACGCACTCTTTCTGAGCCAGGAAAAATGTTCAAAAAACAACATCTCAGCTCTCCTGCCATAGGCGGACAAGACAAAGCCAAATGCCAAGAATAATTTAACCAGCCAAATGAATTAATGTTAATGTAAACGTTCCTGTCAATGTAGTTTATACTCCTGGTTCATGTACAAATACAGTTAATGCAACCGTGCACTTGGAGAATTTATTATTCATCTTACATTTTTGTTACACTCAGTGAGACTTTTCTTTGGGACTTTATTATTTTGCTATATACGAAATTGACGTTAAGACAACTGAACTACCTGAGGCGACGACCATCTCACTTTAGAAATGTTAAAATGAATATTTTTCAAATGGGGATTAAGTAAAGGAGGCTTGTATAAGAATAACTTTTTTGTTAGGTGTTAAGCGCATGTGACAGCATCACTGATGACGTGAATCACAGATGGTTTAATAAAAGTCCAACTTAAATTAATAACAGTTGATTGGAATTTGCAAGTTTTAAAATAGAATGGCACTCATGCAGTACGCATACCTCTACCAAACAGCCCCTTTAAATTCAATCAAGCTGCACCAAATTACACTCATTAATAGATATTAGTCCCCTCAATATGGCTGCTTTTCTTCTGTAAGATCAATTAATTATTCTTTGGGAAATTGGTAAAAATTTAAAAAGTAATAATCTTTTATCTCAATCAAACCAACCAACCAACAGACTAGAATGGCACTCTGTAGAGCGCATACCTCCGCCGAGGCCCAACAGCCCCCTTAGATTCAATCAAGCTGCACCATTCATTTCGCAAACTCATAAATATTAGCCTCGTAAATAAGCCTGAAACTTTTTATCACGCAGTGTTAAAGAAAGTGGACAAAATATCCTTGGATCTGGATCTGTAGCAAAAAATACTAAGCTAGTTTCATGGTAATCTGTCCAGTAGTTTTTGAGTAATTCTACGAATGAACAAACCTAGATAAAAACGTAACTTCCATGGCCGAGGTAAATAAAAAAATATGTATTTGTGAGTCGTTACAATAAGAACACTCCAAACGCTTGTATTCTTGTGTTAAACCCCCTACACTGTACATTGTTTAGTTCCAAATCCACTCAGCTAATGTAAAACCAAGATAATGCTCAGTCCGAACAAACAGACTCTGTTTGCTTGGCAGTTGTTAGTTCTGGAGACTGGTTACACTGTGAACATACAAGTGCTTGCATCCTTCAAGACTAATCTGGTTTCTGTTACACTGACTCAGAGTTTTAAGCTGGACAGATTTGCGTTGCTGAGGTGCGGTCATCACACACAACCTATTCAGGTGGCAGCCAAGTGTCAGCTGTGATGGATGGCATACCTGCAACTAAGCGTCTGGGCCGTCCCAGCACGACGCATATCTGTGGCTTGTTTTTACAGCCATTGGTGGAGAAATGTTGTCCCTGTCCCATCCATCAAGTTCTCCTCTTCCTCCTCTTCCGCTTCCTTCCCACTATCTTCAAGTAGCTCCATTTTCCTCTCATCTGATCATTAGTGCAAGTATATCGGTTGAGAATGTCTGTCTCCCCCCTCCCTCCCTCCCTCGCTCACTCCTATTCGCATGGTGCAGCTGAATGCCTTCACTCTGATTAATGAGGACACACACAGTAATAACACAAATAAGGAATTAAAACGTGGCTCGCTGGCTGTGTAAACATCGCCAGGCCTGTCTGAGAGGATGGGTCCCGGGGCTCTGACAGCAGGATAAAGACGCAGGAAGAGTAATGAGCTATAGACACGTTCTTGACATGTTCCCATTACGCTTCTCTCTGAGCACGCATGCACGCGCACACGCGGCCCAATGGAAATACATGTAGTGTTGCAACATCCACTGTTAATTACTTGTCAGGGATACAGTTTTATAAATAGCTGGTGTTTTTATAACATGTTATGATGTTACCATCTTGTCCTATTTTTTGAAACATTAGATTCATTGTTTGCTTTCAGTATTAGACGGTTAATGTTTATAATTATAATATGGTAATTATCCTCCTTTGTAATGATGAGTCTTAAATGCCTTACTTGTTTTCTCACATTCTTCTTTCTTTCTTTTGTTCACCCTCTTGTCTGTCATCTGACATTTTTTTGCAAATGATAACAAACACAGCTGCCATCTGTGTCTTCAGACATATGACAACAATGACAGCCCTGACAGCAATGTCCATTTCAGACGCAACAAAGAGACTTGAGGAACAAGTTTCCAAAAACAAAACTACAATTCACCGCCGCGCTGTTGCAGCATGAACGTATTGGCAGCCGTCCTTGTCGTCTATTGTGCTTTTCTCTCTGCCCAAATATTATCCCGGCATTCTCAGTTCTAAATCATGTCCATCTTCTCCACAGGCGCTGTCTGCAGCAGGGCTTGGCGCAGGCTTGACTGAGGCTGTTGTCGTCAATCCGTTCGAAGTGGTGAAAGTCAGTCTCCAGGCCAACAGGGATTCGTTCAAAGAGGTTGATAGAAATAAAATACTGCTTTGACTTTTTTAGCGTTGGTCATGTGCACATTTCTCTAGAGGCCCAGTGGTTTTTGCGTCAGCCTTTGACATGTATTCCTTCTGAATTCACTCTCTCAAATATAGCAACCCTCCTCATTTGCTCAAGCCAGACGCATCATTAAGTCGGACGGCTTTGGACTGAAGGGTCTGAATAAAGGATTAACATCAACACTTGGACGCCATGGAGTTTTCAACATGATCTACTTTGGCTTCTACTTCAATGTCAAGGATGCTATTCCCACCAGCCCGGTAACACGCCAATCAAAATCTATGATCACACTCTGACCCACAGCTCTGTTTTGCATATTGCCCACAAATGCAAACTCCGAGCCAAGTGACAGACACACACTCTAGCTTTGCCTTTTAAGTTAAAACCCTGACTACACCAAGTTTTAGCTAACCTCAGGCTACATGATACACACATGTCCCAGCCACCTTGCCAGTGGGGAATAGCAAGTGTCTGACAGTGTGATTAGTTCGCCTGACCGCCCTGGCAAGGAGGAAGCAAAAATCAGAGCGGAGCTTGTAAGATCAGCTCCGCTAATACCTCGTCTATTTGCTCTTCATAACATCCTCAAAGTCTCAGGTTACACATCCGGCAGGGCCTGATGGCCCAAACAAAAGTTAATTTTGTTTAATGGAAACGTTACCATACGCCAGTTCCACATGTACAAACTGGAGCATTAGATTAACTCCAATGAACTAATGGGAAGCAGACAACGGCACTATTTTCAAGAGAAGGCTACAGCAGGAGCGCAGGCTCTGCTATATTTTCAACATTTCCAGTGATGCATGATGTGCAGCGCACCAAGTGGTCGTCCTCTATGAAAGATAATTATGTGGCTAGATGACTCAAATAGCTCTCGTCTCAGCATGTACATTGATGGAATGATCTTGTTTGTGAGCCGCCATTGTTGAGGCAGCAGAGGATAAATATTGTGAGCCCCAGCAGCTCACAGACTGAGCTGATAGTGGCATTTCTCCAAAGCCCTTTTTGGGAGCAACATCAGCAATGAGCTTGCAACCCAAACACGTCTGTAGTCAAATTTAGCCGGCCGAGCTCGGGCTCCTCTCGTATCGCCATTTGAATAGTACAAAGGAGGCAGATAGCACACTGCCATCATTCACAAGTGAATGTGTGAGGAGATGTTTGCTCACGGCTCTTAGGAAGTGGGTTGATGGGTGTACTTAAGCTGCGGGTACGTTACCCCCATCCCCACTCGAGAAAAACAGAAGAAGTGGGATTAGCTGTTGATTTACCTCGGCTCTCAGGGTGTCCAGCCGCTCGAGAAAGGCCTGGACTAGAGAGGCTGCTGTCATTTGTAAAAATATCCTGGCCAATTAGCTGTCAGAGCTCTCTGAGTCTGGGCTTCTTTGGTACAGTAATACCCCTGTGCCGAGTCACAGCCCAATTACCCAAATTGTCCCCATATGCCTCCCCAGTCTGCCTGCATGAACCCTGTTTATAAATCCTCTGTCTTGGCTCCCCGAAGAACATGTGCTTCTGCTCAGCCAATCAGAGCACTGCGCCACAGTCAGGAAACACTAATCTGCCCCCCGCTACCATAAAATGATCAGGGCTTTCATGCCAGCTTTGCAATCATATGCACAAGCCCATGCTCCCCTCACTTTCGCTTACATACATATGCACATAATGTATCAGCATTTTTTCAGCTTCATGACGCTGCTTTACTTTCTCTTTATTTATGTTTTGTGCCACCAACTGCAACACCTGGAGCCGACTCCGGAAACAGTAACTGTTGAATGCACATATATCACTTTATTTTAATTCTGTATCACCTCCTCTTCTCCAGGACCCGACCCTTGAGTTCATGAGGAAGTTTGCCATCGGTCTTGTGTCTGGGACCATCTCCTCCTGTGTGAACATTCCCTTCGACGTAGCCAAGAGCCGCATCCAAGGCCCGCAGCCTGTGCCAGGAGAGATCAAGTATCGCACCTGCTTCCAGACCATGGCACTTGTGTCCCGGGAGGAGGGGTATGAACAAACAGGGGGGGGTTAATAAGTGGGCGATCCTCAAGATGAAATTTAAAATGCTGTCACTGCTACATCCAAAAATTAATGAGCCACTTTGTCTGTTTTCTTTGCAATTGATAGTTGGTTATCTTTCAAGCTGGCTGTCAGAGAAGACAAATGCACCAGCGGGTTAGCAGGGCTTTATCGTACAGTTTGAGTTTCCTACAGAGGAACTGAATGAATAACTTGATGCACAGCTGTGATCTGATGAATGGAAAGCAAAAAGTGACGTTAGATTCCGGGCTGTGTTCCCCACGTGTGATCATACATTTCTGCAGTCTGTCAGTTGTACAGTAAATGTTAACATATTTCAAGCCTCGGAGAATGACAGCTCTAAATGGAAGCTTCAAGGAAAGATCTATGTTATGTTAGCAATTGCCCTAGGCTTTTCCACTTTCCCCCCATGCAGCACCACGAGACAAGGGCCAGCGAGATGTTTGTAGTTAGTGGCCGCAGGAGCCTTGGGGGCTGCTGCAGGAACAGCACTGAAACGCTGTCGTCGCAGGGGGGCGTGGAGGGTGCCCCCTCCGCCACATCCAGTCCCTTGCTCTAACACAACACAGTCCCAGCTAATTAGTGGTCCCTATGGGAGACGTCGTTAAGCAGACCCTAACGAGCCGCGCGGCGCTCCACAGGTCAATCTAATCAGACAGAGGGCCAGGGAGGAAGTGGGTCGAGCCTTATTAACGCCATCAGTGGCGGGGGCAGGGAGCAGGACAGGGAGCACGAGGCGGAGGCAGGCAGCCACTGATCACCTTGAATGCATTAAGGGGCAGGTACTCGCCAGCGCTGGCCCTTAGACTTAAACTACGTACCTGACTGGGTGACAGAGAGGCAGGCCAGCAGACAGACGAGCAGCCAGGCAAGAACTCACCTCCACACTCCAAAGCTTAAACACACATTCACATGCAAGGACACGAGCACACTTTATATGAAAGGAATGTGTGGAAGATGCAGTCATTCTTTTCCACTTTTGCAGCAATAAGACCGAGTAGAAGTACAAGTCATGCATTTGTAATTTGAAGGTAAAAGGAGAAGAGTAAAATCCTAATAATATTCCTACAGTAGTAAAAGTAAAAGTGCTCATTATGCAGAATAGTGTGTTGGATTATAATCATTGATGCTTTAATGTATTGATTTAATGTTTCAGTTGGTAAAGGTGGGATTATTAATCCTACAACATAGCTGCCTCCAGGCATTTACCGGAGCTGAAATATATATTAGAACACACTCAAAGTCAAGTGTACTTCAGAACTGTATACAAGTACAGTACTGGAGCAGATGTACTTTGTAAGGTTCCACTGCTCCATGCTTCATGGATCAGTTTATCCTGTACTCATCCTGGCATCTTTACATACATACATCTTTTCATAATCTGGACTGTAACTATTTTGTTTTGTATTTAATACATCATGAATGTTCTATTTTTGTTTTATAGATACTTGGCTCTGTACAAGGGGTTGGTGCCCAAGATAATGAGGCTTGGACCAGGTAACAAAACAGCTCACAATATTGAAAATTTAAAAAAAAGTTTGAACGTGATCTGATGGTTCTTGTTTGAATAATAGATTTTGAGATTGGAATTCAAGCTAAATTATTCTTCCTCCTACTTCCCTCTCAGACATTGTGTTGTTTGTTCACCTCGACACGTTGGATTAATGACTGACACTGTCTTATGTTGTGTTACAGGTGGAGCAGTGATGCTGCTGGTCTATGAATATGTCTCGGGTTGGCTTCAGAGGAACTGGTAACAAAAACAAGGAAAGAACAAACCACCACAGTGCCTTATGGATTGTGCCTCAATCCTAATACGGTGACCTGACTCCAGTAACTTGAGACCAAATTAGTTTTTTCTTTGTTCAAGTATACAATGCACAATACTGTTATTAAAAACACCAAATCAACATTCCAGTAAGTCCTAGAAAGGAGCTTTCGAAGGAGAACCCCACATCTTCATCCAAGTCAGTTTTATCAGAAATTAAAAACAGCTGCAATATTTCAAAACTGCCAGAAAAACACATTTCAATGTAAAACCTGTTCCAGTGTTTTTTAACACTCAGTCAATTGGGTTTTGAGGCCCTGAAAACTTTGCTTCTAATGAAGTTCAACATTAAGCACAATATTTTTGACAGATTATGTTTTTCTCTATTTCCTCTCACTGGTTTTTGAGTGTAGGTCACATGCCTCTGTGAACCAATCACAGTTAAGCAATATTTGATTCGAATCTGTTGCCAGTTCTGTCGGTCAAATAAGATCGAAGCGCATGTCCAACTGTCCCCTTAAATTCAATCAAGCTCCCCCAGATTGCAAACACTCAAACGATCCATTAGTCCAGGAAGTATGTCAATTTATTTTTTGGGCCATTTTCACTGATTTCCATAAGAATAATTAATGAATTCTCATGAAATAAATCACAATCACAATGTGAAAGAAAGTTTTTAAAAAAAATCCTGCATTCACCCATCTGTCCGGATCTGCACCAAAATTGAGAAAAATTCCCTTTTGGTCCATGTCCCATCTTTCTACCAAGTGTCAAAAAAATCCATTCAGTAGTTTCTGCACAAACCTCTTCACAAACAAACACAGGGACAGTGGTGGAAACATGAACCAAAGACTGAATCTAGAGACATCCCACTATAGAGGACTTGATATCATCATTATATATATGCACATGTTATTCGACTAAACTGGAACTTCCGCTGAGCCTCATATACCGACTGGAGTCATCTGCTCATGAAGGAGCTGCTTTTGAAGTCAGCAACAGTTCACTCTGCACACATGCATACTTTCTATACGTACACATCCTCACATACATCCAACATACAAGATCGAACATGTACACTGTGATCACAACCTTTGTACTGAGCCTTACTGTGTATTTCACACAAACCAAATATTCACAGTAGTGGCTTTAATCAGATATTATGGGTATAGACAATTGTATACACTGATGTTCAGGCCTGTTGCCGAGCTACTTTTATTGCATGACTGATATTTTTATGTATCATCTATAAATTGGACAAATATAATTTTTTTTTACTATCTCGATTTAGAATAGAATCTGTTCAAAGTTACTTGCATGTATTGGTAACAAATAAAAAAACTAAAGGAATAAAAATGAAACTCCTCACTTTGGTTCCTGCTGTGAGTTGGGTGTGGGTTGAGTATTTCTGTGTCCTGTAACCGTCACTTTGTGTTGTTGCATGTTTGTCTTGTGTGGAAGCTTTTCAGCTGATCCATACAAGTTTATCTTCTTCCTTCAGTTTACCCCCTTCCTCCTCCTCCTCCTGCTCCTCCACCTCCTCCTCCTCTTCCCCTCCTTCAGAGCACTTTGTTGAGCCTGTCAGCCTTTAGGAGTCGTCTCGGCCAACCAAGTGTCAGTCTTTTCTCTGGCTGGGGTGCGGAGTCGGTGCCGGAGCGTAGCTTAAGTGCAAGCTAAAACAACAAGCTTAAGAAATTCAAATGTGGTTGCAGGACTTGGGGTTAGGGGGTGGGGGCGGAGTGAAGGTTACCACACACATTCTCTCCTCTTGCCAGGCTATCTCTTACACAAATATGCACACACACACACATGCAAACACACACCTGTTGCACAGCCTCAGGGCGGGTGGCTTCTCTCGAAGAGACTCATCTTAGCCTCATCTGGTAACAGCGTATCCTGAGCCACGTTGGCATTTGACAGTAGTCATTAATGTGGGAGTTTCTCTCTGCCAGAATGGAACGGCTCCTGTTTTTTTTTTTTTTGGCCCTTGGAGTCTGTGGTGATAGACAACCGCAGACTGATGGAATTGTAAGCGTCAAACCTGTCCTTTCTGTAATGGAGAGCTGAAGGTGTATGTTTGTCTCAGATCTGACAGCTTGTAACGTGTCTCACGTGTTGCTGGTAGCGAAACAGCAGAGTCGCCCCTCACCTGGATTCCCTGCGCTCGGCGCTCTGATCATAAATCTTCTCATTTTCTCTACACCTTTACCATGTATGTTCCTCATCATCTTCCCCCTTGACGTTTCAATCCAGTGGCTCCACTCTGACAGGACTACAAGGCTTTACCTGTCTTTCCCAATGCACACATGGGTCATGATTAATATTTGTATTAAAATATCCAGGTTTCCAGTAATTCATGTTGGTGTGATTGAGCCACATGTGTACACACCAAAGACACAGAACCAGACATGTTCTGATTTTCCAACCACAGCTGATTTTTTTTCGCTCTCGCTCCGAGAGGTTTTACTCACCTGTCTGCGCAACAGTGCTGTTTTAAGACATTAAGAAAACATTCTGGCTGTTGTCAGCTTCTTTTAAAAACGTGCGCTGAGCAGAAACACACACGAAGTGCTGTGCTCACCCGGCGTTACCTACTCTGCACTGTGTTACTTTGCAAATGGCTGTCTTGTTTCTGATTGCATGTGGGAAAGTAAAGATAACCATATGACACTGAAGTCAGACTCAACATAATTAATTATTAACACGTGTCTGCCCCTATTTTTAAAACAAAGCCTTTTTAGACCTCGCTCCCACAAAGCTGACCAACATTAGACTACAACAACAAGGGTTATTAAGACTTTTTTGAAACTGTTCCTCCTGTCTCGAAAAACACACTGTTCCTATTTTTTAAATACTGGTGTCAATTAAGACGACCACATTTTAATTTTGTTGTGAGTCAGAGGAGGCTAACAAGGCTGTGCTCAGTTCATGTAGCGTAGTTGAAAGGAAAAGTTGTTGTTTGTAGGCTGAGGTAACGAAAAAAAAAACGGAGCATGTTACGACTTTTTCATGCCACTCGGAGAGTTAACTATCATTTGCAGTATGTGATGGATTGAGGATGGTTGATGGGAGGCAGTGAGGGCTGGCTGGTACAGCAAATGTACAATCATCACGTCCCTTTGATGTGGTTAACATACGGTCAAAGAAACAATACGATCCCTGAGCAACGGTCCGTGACCACTGGATGCGGGGAACAGTGCTTTGCAAGTCAAATCAGCCCTCGACTGTTGACACTTTCACACGGAGGGACTGTTTATGTTGTAACAACAGGAGGAATGGAAACATGGGGCCTTAACTAAAGCAGCCACCTCAGCTCTCAGCAGCAGGTAAATCTGTGTTAAAGAGCACGTGAGCGACATTTATCAAGTTATCAATCTAAAGCTTTACATCCCTGCTGCACCGCAGTGTGTTTAAATCTCTGAGCACCGCAGCCGTACCACACTCGCTCATAATTTATTACGCTACACTTTCCCCCCTCAAACTTTCTGAAAGTATTTTTTGCATCATTTCACAAACATGTCATTTGTGCGCTTTTCTTTTTCCTTCTTTTTTAATGAACACGTTGAGTTGAATCCTGACGAGCCCTGTTTGGCCCTTTTTTGTGGCTGCTGGAGGTTTGCGTTTGGGTCACGTGTCTGATGACCTTGGAGAGTACATGAGACAATGAGTGTCAGGTCTCTGAGTGCACACGGGCTCCACCTCAGCCCCGGAGTCTGGGAGTCCTCCGCACACCGAACGGTGATGTTGTAATTCACAGCGCCTCACACACACCTAAATCAAATCGCAAAAATGTTCTCCCATTAAACAAGAATGGTTGAAATTATTGGAAATTATAGTGCATGACGGAGGACATTTGCAATCATGCAACGTGGTTTTCAAAATGTTACCACTTATGAGATATTTACTGAAGGCACATTCACATTTCTACACATTTAAAAGAATTAACAGTGAGATTAGGAAATCTCTCTTTTGTTGATACGAAAATATTTTATATTTATTTTTATCTCTTCACCCTCTTCAGAAGAAATTTGGAAAATGCCATTGAATAAATATTTATTTTATATTTGCATTTTATTTAAGCACCTATTTTTGCTGCACTTGTTTACCAGACCCCACGGACTTATTGAATACATTTAGTTCTCCATTCAAACTCTTCTGCTGAAGCTTTAGTTTTGTCCTCCAGTAAACGGCAAATATCTAATTGGAATGAAATTAGATTACTTTAAACTATTCATTCTTTCCTTACTTACCTAATAGAATATTATTTTCTATGAGTGGGCCTACAGGAAGGGCTTGAGAGGACATGTACCTGATCCGTGTTATTTCAGTGTCCAAAAGATTTTGGCAGAATTGCATTACATGGTGACTGTGTGTGTGTGTGTGACTGTGTGTGTGTGCTTCTGATGATATTTTCTAGTGAGCCATGAAACCTGGTAATAGAAAATACAGGCCTAGTATGAGCATGCTCTTTTTTTTCATGAAAAGTAGTTTCCTGCTCGTGCAAAACAGGCCAGTCGGCTGCCATATCCTTGATTTAGCCTCACTGCGCTGCCAGAAAGAGGAAGGGGAAAGATGAATAATGCACTCGGAATGAAACATGCTCAGGATTTCCCCCCGAAACACCAACGTCACCAATAACAGCCAAACAATTTAATAAGATACATTCAATTTCATTGTGCAACATTTTTCAATCGTTAACTCTCTCAACTCCAACATCAGACCAGGGCCAATTTGTCTAAACATGCGTGGAGATTCCCATTCTGTCTGAAAGGCGAATTGCACTTCATTCAACGTACCTTTAACTAATAAATAAACTTCTCTCTGGAGCTCTGGAACTTAGGCCACGTTTTTTTTTTTTTAGAGAAGTGGGAAAACAATGCACCATAGGACAGTTATTTTTATCAAAAACATGAACAACAACGAAAAGCATACAAACACAAAACAAGAGCAGATAATAAGCACCCTGAAAAACGCTAACGCAAAGTTTTCCCCCTCTTCTTTGATTGCTTTCTCTTGAAGTTATACATTACCCCATTTGGCCCAAAGACATTTGCAGCAGAAGAACGCAGTAAAGAATCTGAGAGGAGTTGTGTTGATGGATGTAGGAGAAACAGTCATACATCAGTCCTTCAGTACACCTGCCCTGCAAGTTCTTTCACACACGTTAAAATGGACAGAATGTTTATTCCTCCTGTCTTTGGTCTGACTGTGTGAAGCAGCGACGAGGATCAGGAGGAGGGCGGCACGAATATGGGTCCTGGGGCCGGGGCCCTCGTACAAAGGAGGCAGTGAGATTGAAATGTAGCCACACGAGACAGAGTCGATGTCTTCACTGTCCTCATCCATATCTCACACACCACCCCCTCACCCCTTTCTCCCACTCTCCCCCATCAGTCAGCCGACTTCACAGCGCCGAGGCGGTGACCGGGTGGATGGCATCACGGCTGGCTGTCATGCTCTTGAAGGCCAGAGGTGTGGCGATGTCACAGCTGTGGGGAGATAGAGCACTGCCACTGGCCGGCTGCCATGTGGCTCCGGTCACATAGGCCGACGTGGTGGCGCTGTACCCCATGTAGGGTGACACTTGGGTGGGAGGGTGGTAGGGAGGGATGCTGGGCGCTGTGACATAGCTGTTCACTGTGGGCAATCCACTCGGCGTCTGGGTAGAAAAGAGGATGAAAAAGGAGACGATAAGAAGGTGTGGATCTGTATTAAAGGTGTGAAAGGTCACTTCATTTGTTCTCTGGCCTCCTGGTTTGAGGTAGAAATCGCAGTTAGTCATTTTCATCGCTTGGTTTTTCTCCGAATTTCAAAACAGGAAATAATTTGCCACTCAACAGCCAGTTTAGAGGCGACTGAGACTTCAGGTTTGAGTTATTCAGTGACTCGGGCGCAGGTAGACACACAAACACTAGCAGCTGAGATGTAATGGAAAAAAGCTGAGGCAAGCTGCGAAGAAAGTGAAAGGAAAAGTGACGGCTGAATTATAAACAGCACAGACTTCAATTCTAACTTCACAGCCACCACATAAAAAACCCACTTTCCCAATTTTGATGAAAGTATGGATGATCAATTATGCGCCCTCGTGCCCCTGGAACACATTAAGCATGTATAAAAACCATACATGCACGATTTCCCCTGACTGGAAGTGGGACATTGTTTTCTACCTAAAGCTGGACGTTGATATACCACGCCAGACGATGGGAGACAGGGCGGTTGGGAGGGTGGGGGTGCGCCACAAAACAGATGTCATGAGAGATTGAGAGTGAAAGGGCAGGAAGAGGGGAAATATGATAGAGAATGAGGCGAGCGTGGAGTTTGAAGCATGAATGGGCTTTGCTCCTCTGGCACAGCGACAGGACTTAACTTGGGGAATTCTCCAAAGCATTTCAACAGGGAGGCCGAATTTCTGTTCCTGGGTGGTCTGCGACTACTGAGAATTATTTTTTGACTATTCTGATCTTTTCTGTTCCTCTGACTTATTCTCATGGAGGACGCACAGAAAAAAGTAGATGTGAAAAATTATACTCTAAACTGACATTTGTGGTGATTGTGATACACGACTGTGGAGAGGAGACTGGTTCTCTGTGTGTACGCACATGTCTGTGGGTGTGTGTCGGGTGACTGTGGGTGTCTGGGTGGGTGTTTGTGGGTGTCTGTGTGTCTTCACTTCTACAGCGTATTTGGTCAAATGCTCTACAGGCCTTTAGCTGGGTTTCAAATTTTTCATTTGAATCATTTAGGATCATTACAACATGCAACGCATTCAGCCACAGTGCACACACACACACACACACACACACACACACACACACACACACACACACACACAAGCAGCATAAATATGCAAATCAACTGTCCACACACACACACATACACACGACTCTGCACATACACACTATGGAAACGATCACGGCCTCACAAGTGACCACAGAGATGAATCAACACCTGTCTGACACAAAGTCAACAGCGTGTATGTTTACAGATGTGTGTTTATCACAGTTTGTTCAGGTGTCCCTATTATTCTGTCCAACATCTGTCTGACGGAATATCTTTAAAGATGTGGTAGAAAATTCATCTAAAAATATATCACCTGACCAAAAGTATATATTGTATATTAAAATAACCTCAAACATTTTATAATTTATATCTTATTTAGGATTATTTGTTCATAAGATGTTAACGGTGATAGTTTGACGTCTTTTTTAATTGCTGTTAAATCACACTTGAATAATAATAATAATAAAAAGCACCTTCATCCAAATAATATCTCAACCTCAGATATTCCAAATAAATAAAGTAAACGCCCAAATATCTTAATAATGGCGACAGTAAATCTCAAACGACATGAAATATTATCTAATTATTTTTAAAGTAAGTTTTCCTGACGAACTTGAACAGATTCCCCTCCGAGCTGCCGCACGAACATGATCTAAACTTAAATGTGATTTTTATAACACTCTTCATCTTCATCTTCAAGAATAAAAAATAAAAAACCCCGAGGGTCCCATGGGTGCCCCCACCCCCTCTGCGGAGCCCATAGGCCTCCTGTCGTACCCGCAGTCTTAAACTGAAGAAGAGTCTGAGGCCTCTTCACTGAAGCTTTGAATGTTTTCAATCAGCTCAACGTTGAGTCAACTTTAGAGGATTCAAAACCGAACCTGACGAGAAGTGTTTTTAAACTATGACATTTTTTTAAATCAGATTTTTAAATTTAGAAGTAAATGAAAGTTTGGAAACTTTCAGTCTGATGTTTTAACGCATGTGGTTTCTCACAAACGGATCAGATCTATTTAACAGGATAAGTTTATCCTCAGTCTTCTGCTTCACCGTTCATCGTCCTTTACAGACTTTAATGGTTCACTTGTTTTTCTGTGAAGCTGTTGGTTGAAGAGGCCAAATATCAATCTTTAGTTTTTTATCTAACGAGAATGACACGTCCGCTAAAAGTAAGAGAACAAAAATCTGCGCAGTAAAAACTAAACGCCTCTGAGGAGACGTTGAGTTTTTGATTGAAACACACACACTCAAAAGTTATTAATTATTATAAAAAATATTATTTTTATAAAATACAAGGAGTCCTCAACTTTAAATACTGTGAAAGGCGTTTTTTAAATTAACCTAAATGTGAGAATTTGTCATTGATTCTTTTATTATTTTTAGATTTGACAATTTCTTGATTCTGAGCAATTATTTTTTATTACGTCCCCAGGTTAAAGGCTTGCACCACATTTGTTTCAAACAAAATATTACTATAAAGGCCACTGCATCTTTTATTTTATAACGTTTTTAAATCAAAAAGTTCAATATCTTGGCTCAAACTTTGAACCCTAAATATTTAAAATGTCTTCCTAGAATAATCCAACAGGAAAATGAAAGCAGACTGTGTGAGTTTTCAGTTTGAGTGTAGTCACAGTCACAGTTTATTTCAAGAGCCCAACGAGCTGCAGAAAAAAAAATCAATAGAAAAAGTGTATAGGCTGTCCAAACCTCTTTCACCCACTAATTCTTATTTTATAATTTACACTGTGAGGATTCATAAAAAGCACTGACCATGCAGCAGGACCAGCAGGAAGTGGCTGCCCCTTATGAAGCCAGAATAAAAAATAAAAAAAATAAGATGCAGCCAGAAGCAGCGGGTTAATGCTGTGAGAGGGGAAAACTTCCAGGCCACATAATAATCAGAATACTATTATTTAAAAAGACTGTGATTAGATGAATGACCTCACCTCCAGGAGGGGTTTACTTTCCCTGTATTCGAGGCTGTACAAAAGAGGAGAGGACTTCATTTCTTTGTGTTTACCTGCGCGTATTTCGCGTCTAAATGCGGTTTATCCACGCCATTGACTAGTGGAGAGGTGGCTGCTGGGAAATTAGTCCTGTTAATTGCGCCCCATTCTTCTAGTTTGGCGCAGGGAAAGGATGGACTGTCACTAACTGGAGGGACAGAAGAGAAGAGGAGTCAGAGAGGAGGGTTTTCTTTAAAGATGAAGAGTAGAAGGGGGGAAAAAAAAACAAGTCTCTGCTTCGCACACAAACATCAGGCCCAGATTAACCAGGCTGCATGAGACACAATAAACCCGGAGACATTTAGCACTGAGGCTCATTCAGTTGTCAGTTCACCAATTAATAGCTCATGTGTCAGTGAGATTTCAAATACGTCAGGCTTTTATTTTTATAACCTTGTCCTGTTCCTGATTAGTTGAACAAAAATGTAAAAATACAAAATTTAAATAATCTGGTTTTTAGATTGTTTTTGTCTAATCGCCTAAAAGTTGGATAATATCTTTTCCATGTGAATTTAAGGGATTTTCACTAATTTCTAAAACAAATAATTAAATTGTTAAAGTTTTTCTTGGATTAGGTCTGAGAACTATTGTACAGAAGGTGTAATGAGAGGCCATATGTTTCCCTTTACCTTTAAGAAAATGTGTTTGAACTGGATTGCAAATATTTGTTTTGGTTCGTCCTGTGCATCAGATTAAGGCCCAGTTGTAGATTGATAAAAGTAAAACGTCTCTGGTGGATGTGGGACAACAAAACGTTTCAGACGAATCACATTTACATTCACCGCCTTTTTTGTGCGTAATAGATTTTATACCTCACATGATCCCCAGCGTTTGCACTGAGAAACAAAGCCTCACAAGGACATAAGTCGTTAAAGAGCATTTATTTAAAATGTTGAAATATTTGTATGTAATACTGCACTTATTCTAAGTGTATGTTTGATGCATTGTGTTGAATCAATCAAAAACATTTGACTATATGTGAACTAGATAGTGTGTGTGGCCCAAGCACGTCAATTAAGATGCGTAAAAATAAATAATAATTCATAACGTTACGCCTGAAAATATTATAAGATTTTCCTGCAATTTAACAAAAATATAAATTATATTTTAACAAGAATCTGCACTTTGGTGCGTTTTAAGTCGACTCAAAAAGCCTTTAACCCTGCATTCAAAAACCTGCCACAAACATCTGCTAATAATTTAGAAATGCATGAAATGTTTATAAAGCTACACTTTCTAAAAACACAGTCCTCCCCCCGTCATTTCTCCACCATATTCCCCTCACGTTTGTCTCGTGTAGCGAGTTATTCGCAGCGGGCTTGGAGCGCAGAGGAGCCGGGGCTTGTTTGTGCACGGCCGCCATGCTGGACCCTGACAGCGGGGACTGACAGCACTTCCCCTCCTGCCTCTGCAAAACGAGCTCCCAGAGAAAAAATCCCTTTCACAACACCGAGCCGGCCATTAACACTGATTTATGCCGGATCCAGTTTCACTGTTTCCAAAACAGTCGTGGTCTGTGTGGAGCGCAAGTCAAAGTTATCAGGGCCTCTATACCTGCATGTGACACATACACGACAACACAAACACGCAGGCTGCAGCAGCAAATGTATCTTAATGCGTGCGCACAGACCCAACTCATGGCAAACATTCAGCACACTTCATCCAACTCCGTCTCCCTCCAATATTCCACATCCGCCTCTTAATCATTACTGCAAGCTGCCTGGACCATCTGTTCCTGGACTGACCTGCCTCCCCTTCAAATCACTATCAGCAGGCCTGTGTGATATGGGATGGCGTACAAATAGCACGTCACTTGTAAGGACAACCTACGCGTCTTTTCAGGTGGTTTTAGTTTGGGTTGGAGGGTTAGTTTGTACAGAAACGACGTGGCGCAAAGCAGAAAAGGAAAGCGCAATAGTAACGCGCTAAATGGCACGAGAAACCAACGTGTAGCTGCAGGTCAGGTCTCCATAGAGGCCCGAGAGCTCAGGTTTGTGATGCTATTAAACAATTAGAGTAGAAATGAATGCCCCCTGTCCCTCAGACGCACACACACTCATGGACAATCTTGTGCGTAAAACCCCTTCACAAGTTGGATAAATGCAGTGCAACAATCAAAAGTAACCGCCCTCCATGCAGCCATGCTTACTTTGTTGCTCTGTAATAGACCGTATCCCCAGAATATCTGTCACAGAGTGCGAGGAGGGCCATATCCTGTGCATGGCCATGTGTCCGGGGAGGGTGGGCATGCCAGGGGGAGTGGGCACTTTGGAAGTCGGGTATGAGTATAAGTGGTTGTAGGGTAACGTTGGTTGTGGCGGTGGATGAGGCGCCTGCTTGCCGGATTCGTACTGACTCTGCTGGGACAGATTCCCGATCTTGTTGCGCAGGATCCGACTGATGGAGCTGACGGAGGGGAGGTTGAACTTATCGCAAACCCCGTCGGCGAGTAGCCTGTCCCGGATCTCCCAGGCAAAAATCCCCGGGTCCCTCTGCTTGTATGTCCGTATGTGCTTGACCACGGTGGGTGTGGTGACCCGTGGCTTGCTGCCCCCGATGGCCCCCGGGAGGATGGAGCCGGTCTCGTTGTAGCGGGCCAGGATCTTGCTGACACAGCCGTGGGAGACGCGCAGCTGCCGGCTAATGTCACAGGGTCGAATCCCGAGCTGGGCCAGCTCCACGATCCGGAGCCGGATGGCGTTGGGGAGCGGCCTGCCGTTCACGAAAACACCGCCGAGTTGGTTCACCTCGCCGAAGGCTGGCTCTGGTGTCAAAATCAAACACACACAAGAGCAGAAGAATGAGAGATTGTGTAACTGAACCAAGGCCCAACACAGATTTAATAACCCGGTGAAAACACTCATTCATAGGGTCTTTTTCCAATTAATATAATTATATAGAGTCAAATAAATTAGGTGTTAAACTCTTATGCGATGTTTTTTTATAAAACCACTGTCTGACCAAAATAAATTCGAGATCCATAAATTGGATCCAGATCCAAGGTGCGTATTTTGGATTCTAAGTGAATTCACCAAAAATCTCTTTGCACCTAAACAAACCTTTATCACTGAGTGAGTTGTGTGCAGCCTAATGTTGGTTTGTCAACTAAAAGCTGACGGATACACACGCTGAACCTCACACGGATGTCCTGTCGTCCATGGTAAAACCCGTGCGTAACTGGCACATGTAATGTTTCCGTCCGCTAATTCCGCCCCTGTGGATCAACACCTAAACTGATCCGTCAAAACACCTCAGACAGACAGCACCTCGCCATATTCCCCCACCTTGCTGCAGGACGTTGGACAATTCGCTGCATCCTTTACCAGGAAAAAAAAAAAAACACGATCCAAGACTGAACTCACCCATAGTGTTAAAACCGCAAATGAAGAACACGGTGTCCGGTTTGTGCCTCCTGCGTGGATCCTGCTCCGCGTCCAGCGTGTCCACCGTCCAGAGCCGCGTCCAAGAAAATGTTCTTGTGAGATAAGGAACAAGAGGGACAAAATTCTCGGTCTGTTTCCTGACGGCGCTGGAGACAGGCTTACATTTCAATCTGTTGAAATCAGGAGGCTGGACTTAAACTCTTCTCTCCCCGCTGATTGGCTCTGCTCGCCGATAGACGCTCGGGATTGCGCGTAGCCGAGTCGCCATTGGTCCAGAAGTTTGACATGACAAGTTCACGGAGACACCCCGCCGCCCTCCCTCACCTCCCCAAGTCCTCCTCCTCGCCCTGCTCTGTCCCATCAGAGAGCAAAGCTTGGGACATACCACCATGAATGCGTTTGTTATTCAGACACGCGGTGAGTATAAAGCAATATCAAGATTTTGGATTAGATCTGGATCTTTAAAACTTGGATGTGAGTCTAAATAAAGAAATGCGCAAAAAAACTCAACGCAGAGAAACACCAACTGGAAAATAGTCATATTTCCATAAAAGCGCACAGTTATGCACATTTGAACCACACGTTTAGCTGTCATTAATTATATTAACATTCGTGTTTAAGCAACAAAGATGAATCCTTTCAAAACAATAGAAGTGCCAACCTCTGCTATGAAAACAAAAAGGTGGAAAAGCTAACTTAGAGTGGCTTTACGCACCACTACCCTTCATCCCAACCTTTTTTTAAATGGCATCAATTAGGAAATGGAGGGAGAGTGACTGATTGGTGTTAAATACTGTAACTGGCTGGTTGATGTTGATAAATTGTGCCTCCGTGCACTGGATCATTACGCTCTTTTTTTTTTAGTGTTTGTCGCTCGTGTATTTTTTTTTTTTACTTTTCTTTACGCATCAACTATCACTGCCACACACCAGCAAAACACGCCAAAAAATAAATCCATCCAGCATCGATGATGTTTTGCTGAAAATGAGGCGAAAACAACACAAACATGTTGGACTTTTGAAAAGATTCTGCCTTGTTTAAAAATACATGACAGAGTTAAACCCTCAGATTTAACTCGCGTCTCAATTTAAATATTTGATTTATTTTGACCTGGGTGAAACGAACATTACCCTCTTAGGTGTTTTAATCCAACTGTTTTATCTTTTTCCTTTTCAGACAGCAAAATAATTTGATTTGCATGAAGACATTACCACGGACATCAGGCCAAACGTGTCCCCTTTTATGCCAAATTACGCACAGCAAGCGTTTATGATATGAACGTTTCTGGAGCTATTGTATGATAAATTAATTTCCCTTTAGGTTCTAACCTTTATATAATTACACACGAGGCTCATAGCTTGCAGAGGACTATTTAAAAAAAGGGGTTATTTCTTACTTTACTGCCCCTGCACACATGGACCGGCTGCGCAGAAACCCCCCATTTGCAGGCAATAAGAAAGATTTGTTGCTTCCCGACACGAGAAACAAACACACACCATAACTTTGCGCCTTCAGTCTCTCCCCTGGTTTGACACATGCTTTGGGTTTTCTCGTGTCATATTTTCTGTGTTTTTTTTAAAAACAGGCCACGGTGCATGACTGACCTGCATCTCCCAACGACCTGGAGGGATCAACGTGCATGTAAACATCAAACAGCGCAGCCATACAGCCGTGCACTTTGGAATATTGTTGGAAACCACCGCTGACATTAAACACCGAGGCTGCCGTGAGGGGCCAAAGTGTACACAGCACGGTGTTTCTCACTATTTGTTTCAGCGCGCTCAGCTCGGCTATGTGGGCTACTGCAGAGGAAACTCACTGTTACTGTGTTTTAATCATTTCCCACATTTTCAGGCCTTAAATCTCTGCAGCTGCACGGATCACACTGTGCGTAAAATACAACTGTGGCGTGAGTGGACGCTTTTCTACAGTTATGTTTGCTTACATGACGCGTTATTCTCCTCAGGACTGGGGATATTAGTGGACTCGTTTTTAAGATACACCACCGTATCGCTGCTTGTGCCCCCACCTGCCCGCCCTGCCCAAGTCCCCGGCCGCTAATGCGTCATGGATGATGTTTACCGTGGTGGGAACGTGCTCAACTTGTTTCTACTGAGGAGCCTCTGGTGGCTGAAACAACAGAGGGTCAGCAGCGAGGGCGCAGAGGTCTCATCCCTGCGCCCTGAACACACACTCATCCTTGTTCTGTGGTGTGGTAGATGTCCAACCGGACTCTGCAGCCACATGTGGGGGCCACCATCAAAATAACAGTTTTATCCCATGTGTTTATTTGATAAATGACACCACACAACTGGAAATTATCGGCATTAAATTCATTTTTAAAAAAAGAAATAAAAAAAGATTGCATGTTATTGAAATAATTCAATTCCCATACAGGCAGAAATTGTTTATTAAGTAATTATACTTTGAATCTGATCAGTGATTATCTGATGCGTCAAAAGTAAACAATGCTTTTTGTCTCGTTAAATACTTGTGATAAATATTAATAATTGCAATAATAGTAATATTTTTTTAATCAAATGGGGCTGTTGAGGGGAAAGTAAATAATCCTCATATGTTTGTCATTATCTCGTCATGTAGCTCTGGAGTATTGGATTGTTTCATGTGCTGGAAGCAAACTTTAACAAATAACCACCAGAAATCTTTTTTTTCCCTTTTTTTTTTAACCCAATGTATTTATGTTTCCTGCGTCTGTCCGTGCACGCCACGCCGGTGCTAACAGGCCTCCATCACGCATGATTGGAACCATGGCTGTCACAGGCCTGCACCGCGCAACAGCCCAAACCCGTCCATGTCGAATTGAACAGTTCAGACCGTCTGTGAAGGAAACGCATCACTTGTCTGACAAATTGTGTAACGATGGACTCAAGAGCTTCGACAGCAGCAGGTCGACTTACACGCTTCCTCATCTCACACAGCGGCGGAGAGAGTGCAGGCTCCTGCGCACGGTCTGTGACAGAGGGCCTCCACACTCCACCAATATCACTCTCCATTATTCAGAGATGCAGGTGCATGAACAAAACGTCAGTGGAAATTACGTGTTTGTCTTCAATGTGTGTTATTCAGTCACATCCTGCAGGAAATTGTTTCTTGCTACATGCGTGACTGAATTCTCTGCTCCTCTGTGCGTCTGACGCTTTTACGGATTCCGTGCAGAAAAAAAAAGCAAAGCAGACAAACTCTGTGCCTCGATGATTTAATGCCTGAGGGACGTTTAGCAACTGATCATTCTGACACACTCGTGTCCTGCAGCCTCTAAAGAGCCACTTTGTCATATTTCTCCTCTTCATAAAACTCCATTATATTTTATAAACGTGCTCAGATAATTCAAGTCAAGTCTCGTCTGGTTGTAAGATAATGAAACGTGATATTATGGGATTAAAATGTTTGTGCGATTAATCCAATGATTTGGAAGAATGCAATCATAATATTTCGTTTCGTATTTTCCCATTAACTCTTGTTTTTTTGCTCTTGTTTGCAGATTTGTTCCTGTAATCTTCAGTGCGCCAAACACAACCTGAAGAGTGAAGCTGAATAAACCGAGTCTCTGCTCTGTGGAAGTTAGTTTGCACTTGTATCTGTTTATATCACAGCTTTACCATAATTGTTTTCACGGTGAGACATTTAATAACGACTCGAGATGGAGGGAGGAGAGTGTGTGGGACAAATCTATTCGTGTGCGACTGATAGTTTTCTGTCTTTGTTCCATTAAGGTCAAGTTCAAACCGAGACACATTTAAAAGGTCAACCAAAAAATCAAACTATGCAAATCGTGCTTCATTCAAATCTGTTTCCCTCTGCTTTGATTAGATAAGTTGTGCTGTTTGATGTATTGGAGGAAATTCACAGTCCATACACCGAGGGACAGAATAATTATAGAAATATTTGATACAATAAAAGTAGAAATAATAATATATATGCAATGTGCAAGGTAGTGATTAAGATCTGGGTTGTGTAATTTTACATTTTTGAAAATTCTTACAATGTAGAAACTGTGCAGCAGGACTGGAGCTGTTTGTGTTTGACAGAGGAAGACAGTGATTCTGTCACACGATGTAATTTCCATCAATAGCAATATAACGAAGGTCGTATATATATATATAAGATAATATAATATATATTGTTAATGCAGCACAATGAGGAGGTTAAACACATAATCTGTCGACCTCAGATCTGTAAACTGTTTAGCTTTTATCGAGAGTTTAAAATCAAACCCCTGGAGCAAAATTCAGATTTAATAATCTGACATTTATCTTGATAACGATCTCTATCGACTGAAATTATTTTTTAAATCTTTATATAATTAATGTAGGTGCAGCACAGCCCTGTTTCCCAGGTCATACAGTTCGCCCACACGTTAGCACCATCCTCCTCCGCTGTGAAGGGTTTCACTTTTGGAAAATGAAGACACGGTGTTCAGTCGTTGTGCAGAAAACTGTCTGGTCTTGTCAGAATGACAAACACCCTCCTTAATAAATCACGTAGCGGCTCCAACTGCATTTCTCCGTCGCACCGCAGAGATTTGCGCAGAGGACGATGCTGTGCCAGGATAAGAGCGCGTGATCCACCTGAGTCTGTTTACCTGTCGGTTCAGAGACGACTGCAAACTGCGATGACACAGACACTCCCACATCAAATATCTCCTGCTGCAGAGTCACTTAACCACCTTTAGTTTTTAATAAGCACTTGTTCAACAAGTGGAGACACGAGGACCTTTTTTTCTGCTCGACACTTTCTCACAATGGAAGAAGGAAAACAGGCCACTCGTCGTGGTGAACGAACAAAGACGAAGAGTGCAGCAGGATTTCGATGAAGTCAGATCGAAAGAAGAGTCTGAATATTATTTTAGTTCAATATTTGTCTTGACAGACGTCAACCAGAGTTCACTGTCATCCACAATATGATTAAAATACGAGGTCTGGCTGCACCACCTCCTGTGAAACGAATCAAAAATCATTGGTAAATCAATTATATCTTTATTTATTCAGAGTTTATCTTCTTATTCCTACAGTTAATAATACACAGGAACATCTGTATGTCTGTACACATCTGTATTCTCTCTCTGGTTCCTACATATTCAAATGTCCTCGAGATGTGAGAGGTCATCAATATGTTG